TTGCAAGTTTCTCTCCGTAAATGTGCCCATAAATCAGAACTACTGGCAGGATTGTTAAATGTTGTTCTGCAACTCAGAGGTTTGACTTCACTCTGTGTTTTACTGAACATGCATGAAAAAAAACATCTAATTTATTGATTCAGGTGAAGTTTTTAGGCTGCAAACATTAATGTGATGAGCTGAGAAAAATAAAAATATTGAAAAAAATGTAGTATCATGTGTAATTTAAACTCTAATTGATTTAAAACTAAACTTAACCTAATTTTTCTTCACCTGGAGTTAAAGTCTTCTCTCTTAACTGGACAAAATAAGTTGATAAATAGATTTGTGACTGTAAAATGGTATAAAATATGTGTAAAATCTTTATAAGATGATTTTTAAAAAACAGTTTTGGTGCTCAACATTCTTTACAAAAGTAAACCAGCTGATGTCAGAATCTTGTTATTCGTGATCTCTGACCTGTAAGGAACAAGTTCTGTTTGTTTTTCTGCCTTTATGACGTCCAAAAAATTGTTTTTCAGCTGAACTCAGTCATTAACAGACGTCAGACTGGACAGAAACACGACTACAGCACTTCATTTAGACATTAAAGCAGAGTTTATTGAGCACATTTGTATATAAATGAACAACAAAACAGCAAAATGCATCAACATCCATCACAAACGTCATATTTACTGGTGCATGTAGGTCACAGAGGGCAGGTTTATATATTTATATGACACAGTACACAATAAAAAACGAAGGCAAAGAAGCACATTTCCCATTTTTTCCATCTTGCAAAAACATAAATAACTTCTTAAACTTGGCAGAAAAGTTGCATTTTATGAATTTGTTAATCAATTTGAAGCCACGGCAGGTGAGTCGACCTGTAAACTTTACAACTGTTTCAAAAATAATCTGAGTTGTTGAAGGTTTTTAATTTTCTTTGGCCTCCAGCAGCAAGTTTTTTTAAATTACACTTTCACACTCAACACATTTATTACAAACATACCTGCAACACAGAGTCAGATTTATTCAAAGTTCATAATAAATTAGATTAAAACTGTTAGTAACTTTAGGCAGCTGAGCTTAATTAAAAAATTCTATTTTTAGTGTGATTTAGGATTTAATTTTGACCCAGTTCACGTTTTAGCACTAATTTCGCCCTTATTGACATTTTTTGAACAGGTGTGCTGTAGAAACGCATTTTGTTTTAAAAAAGTAGAAAAAATGTTTAAGGCAAAGTGAGACGAAGAGAAAATCGTTTTATCAGAAGCAACCAGGCAGCATTTAAAAAGCTTCAAGCATCGTTATAGTTGCACACAAACACAGCAGCGTCATTCTAAGAAACTATTTCATGACCAGTCGAGGCAGCTTTTGTCAGGTTTCTGAACCGATGGACACACTTGGTTTTGGTCTATTTTTAACTTTTTGGTGCAAATTTGGTTTAATTTAATCACTTTTCTCACCAGAACGACAGAAATTGGAGCCAGAAAAGAACATCTGCATGCACTATTTTGCATTATTCAGTGTTTTATCCAAAGTATTTCACACTGCAGTCCAGTCAAAGTACTTTTGACTTTAAAGTTAATTTATTGCTGTGACATGAAATAAATCTATTGAAGCAAACAGGCATTTCTGTTCAGCAAAGTTGGTTTTTTTTCATGTAACAGTGAAAATGGACCTTTTTTTAAGACGCACAAACTCACACTTGGTCACAGATTAGTGGATTAAATGAGTTATTTCGGATTTAGTGCTAAACTTGGTCCTAAAACCTGCTTTAAAAAGGTGTTTTTGTGGGTTTTGTGTTACTTTTTAGGGCTAAAAGCTGCTTTATGTGTTAGTTTTGACATGTTTTCTGGCAAATAGCTGCTTAAGATGAAACTCTGACATCACTGAGTTTTCTTCATTATCTTCACCACGGCTGAACCTGTTTGTCAGAAACAAACTTCCCGTGAGGCTCCGTGGCTCCGGCCGGGAGCAGGGCCAGATAGACCGGCGTGACAGCGCCCTCGTCTGGTGACTTCGGGGCTTTATCGCCCGCCATGTCGGTGCGAACCCACCCTGGACAGCAGGCGTTCAGCAGGATCTGTAGAAATAATACAAACAGGATGAAAACGTACGTTGGAAATGACAAGAAACCACCAAACAGCATCTCTGTGAAGATTCTCCGTCGTCCAGGTTATTCTCGTAGATTAGTCGTAGCAACTGGACAAGGAACTCAAGCAAGTCCAGATTGATCTACGAGAATCACCAAAAAGGAAGTTTTTTTTCATATGTCAGTTTTTACCAACATCCTGCAGCCGCGGTTCAAATAAATGAGGTCATGAGATCTGACAGCAGCTGTTCAATAACAAAATAACACAAAGATGATGTAAATTTAGATTTGAAATGAAGCGTAACTGGACTCGAAATGATAAAACTAGTACATAAAGTACATAAAGTCCCATTTAAATATTGTTTAATCTCTTAAAACAAGCCTTCAGCTGCTGGTTATGTTTCAGTTACCGCGTCAGTCGGTCGCTCTTTGGACAGACGACGAGCCTGAATCACTGTCAGAACCTGGAAACGACAAAAACAACAAAACAACACCAGTGGCGTCACGTTAAACTGGTATTTAAAGGGTTCATGAAGGTTCTAGTGACTCGTTTTGACTTAAACGACTTTGACTTCCAAAGAAAAGTCTTTGCATTTCATTTATGAACATCGAGTTTATCTTACATTTAGAGATAATGAATAACATTAACAATGGAGTTGCTCAGGGTTCTTCTACTTCAAAACCCAAAGCAGCAGAAAACATGCAGACTTTTCCTGAACGTTTTATTGTTCTTTCAGCTCTCTGCTCTTTGCTCGATGTCCCAGCAGCCTCCACCGTGGACCATTTCAGACTTTAGCGTGCTAAATCGTACCGTCAGGCCCATCTTGGATACCCCGTAGGCCGTGTCCGGCCAGCCGCCCTGCCGGTGTTCGCCCTTCTTGGCCTCGTCGACGAACCGCTGCATCAGCGCCGCCAGCTCGTCCTCGGTGATGTCGTCGCTACGGAGGCGCTGCTGCAGGTCGGAGCTGCATTTCTTCAAGGCGTTGGAGCCGATGGTGCTGGACATGTTCACCACCCGACCTGAAGCACGCAGAGGACGAGTGAAGCTGCAGGTTTGTTATTCTGAAGAAACGTCACAAATGATCAACCGTCTGCTGAACTCAGGTATAAACTCAGCAGGTCTCAGTCTATTAAGAGTCATCCAGTGTTTAACATAAATGTTTGTTGAGTGGCAGGAAACCATCAAGTCTGCTGGTTGATGATGTGCAGATGGAGAAAACTCAGAAAAGATATTCTTTCTTTTGCTCATATTTATTTTACTATCACATTATCTCCACTTTTTCGATCTTCTGGCCTTTTTTTGTTTAGTTTTTTTGCCTGTTTTGTCATTAGACTCATAAAAACAACCCACATTTGTCTTTAAATCATAAAGGAAGACTTTTACATGCTGCACTTAATTTGCTTTGTGTTATATTGAATTTCACATGTCACCTTTCATATTTTACTTTTCAACAAGCCAAACATTTGGCCTGTTTTGTCATTTAAATCATAAAAACAATTCTACATTTCTGTCTGAATGAGACCAGAGGAGCACTGGACGCTGCATTTATGCTTTTGTTCAGTTTAAGTTGTGTTTGTGTTTCTATCTGGAGAATTAGCATCGCCGCACTAACTGTGACCGCACATCATAGAAATCAAAAAGCAGAGAGACCAGTCTGGTGTAATTTTCTAAATGTGCCGCCTGTGAGACGCTGAGCGGCTGAAACCCGACACGGCTGTGATCAGATCGCAGTCGTTCAACACATCCGCCGAACCGCCGTCGCCTCTGAAGCAGCTTTGTGAGCGAAGGCCAAACCGACTCTTGAATCTGGGATGCTGAGCAGAACAAGCGCTCGTGTTGTCTGCCAATTTTCTGAGCAGGCTGAGTTCTGATGGGTTTGTTTCGGCAGCAGAGGCGGACGGTGGAGCGGATCCAGGGTTCGGCTTCACAGAGACACTTTAGATGGTCGATGCTGTTGGAGAGGCTGAAAACTGGCTCCCAGATCAGTTTAACGTGGAGGAAACAGTATATTTAAGTTTAAAATGTTGGTCAACTCAACAGGCAAACTTTAAACTGAAGCCTCTTTTGGACCTGCTCTAGTTTCTGTTACTCTGATGACACATGATGTCAGATTTCACTTTTCTCTAGAAGTTGCGACAGCGATGACACCAGGTTGGACCATTTCACTAAATACTTCATATTTATTGTTCTGTTCTGTTGCTGCTCTCCATCTGCTATCCTGTTATCTCCACCCCCTCATCCCCACTCTCATCCAATGGCCTCCTGCCCTGAGCCCGGTTCTGCCGGAGGTTTGGGGGCCGGTTTGGTTCCTTCCCACCGCTTGCTCAGAAGGAGTCCAAAGGCTGCTTTGGATTGTTGGTTTCTCTGTTTAATTTGTACAGTCTGTACCTGACTATGTGAAGCGCTGTGTGATGATGTGTTGTGAAGTGTGCTGTGCAAATGGAATTGAATTGAATTGAACTGAACTTTTAACTCGGCACAACTCTGAACTGCACACAGCTACAAAAAACAGATCAAAAAAATCTGAAAATCACAAGTTGGGGTACCTCAAACACACATGTCTTGTTGGCTTTGTTCTATAATTTCACATTTATGAGGCCACAAGCTGAAATGTCCATAAAAAGTAAACTTTGGTGCCGTAACAACACCAACAGCTGAGATGAGCAACACCCACCAATAGTCAATGTAATCTGTGAGACGCGAACAGGACCTGAAGCTTAGTTTGTTGCTTCCAGCTGTTTAGAACTACTTCCTCTGAGTTTATTAAATATCTTCAGCATCAAACAGCAGCAAGGAAAAGTGTTTTCTGTCTAAATGGCCGAACACCTTCACTTTAAAGGGTTGATGAAGCAGAAATGTGTCTGAACAGGGATTCATAAACGCCGTATGGGACACGCAGTGGCAGCAACGAACAGACAGGAGCTCAGCGTGGTTTAGAATTTAAAGTGAATTGATAATATTCTACACAAGTCTGTTGATGATCCATTGGTTTGGGTCAGGTGTGTTGCAGTGCGGAGACGTCTGGAACCTGCAGGACGGTAGCTCAGGAGGACCGGAGTTGGAGATCCCTGATCCACAGTGTTCTCACCTCAACAGCACAATATATTTATTCTACCGTTTGGCCGTTACCTTGCTCATGCCTGACTGTATTTACTTCCTACTGGCTCCTTTTGTAAATATATTTGTATACTCTTATTTGTCTTTTTCTTTTATGCTTATATTTTGCACCACTGGAGTTGTCTTTTAAGTTTGTTGTACTCTGTGTATGATGACAATAAAAGCATTCTATTCTATTCTATTCTATTCTATTCTATTGTCTTTGTATTCTTACATTCTCGGCTGAATTTTTCCTGTGGAATATTCTTAAAACTGTCAAGTTGTTTGAGGAGGCAGAAGTTTTTTTCACTGAATTTCGGAAGAGCTGATGCTTTTATTTTGAAAAGTCTCCATTGCAAACAGTCAGCAGCTAAAAAAAGATGAAAAGAAATGTGTCGTCTAACTGTTGCTGAAGCGTGTCTTTGTGAATCCAGGTTTGCGTTCGTACCTCCGGGTTTGATGAGCGGCAGGAAGTGAGTCAGCATGTCTCTGGCGGCGAAGAAGTTGGTCTTCAGGGTGACCTCGGCCTGGACGCCGAACGGAGACGGATCTGAATCTGAGGAAAGAGGCTAAAATCTTAAGTTTGTTTAAAGCTGTGGTGCAGTTTTGTTATTATTCTGCACGTTTCAGCTTTAATCCATTTCAATGATATGTAGGTCTAAGCCAGCAAAGATCTTGTGATGTGAGTATTTGTACGTTTGCGTCAATCCAGTGTGTCAGTGTCAGAAAACAGGAAGCTCTAGAGAGTAATCAGAATAACTTATTCCCACCACTTGAGCTGCAAAACAGGAATTCTAATTTACTGATTCTCTGTTTCCGTTGAGGTTCAGGACTTTATGCTGCAGTGAAAAATGATCCACAGCGAAGGAAAATGTGACAGAAATGAGAATGAATGGTTCCAGCTTCACCTCTGAACGCCATCCCGGCGTTGTTGACCAGGACGTCCACTCCTCCGTACGTCTCTTTGAAATAATCAGCCGTGGTTCTGATGCTGTTCACGTCATTGATGTCCAGCTGGTGGAACTTCGGATTCAGTCCCTCTGAGGACAAAGACTTGACGGCTTCCTCGCCTCGACCGCTGGAGCAGGAACAAAGAAAATTCAAATTTACTTTCACTTGTTGTTTTTATCTCCAATTCTTCAGCTTTTTTTTATCGTCTTTGGTGAAGAGGTTCTGCATGAATACAAAATGTTTAACCAAAGTTCATTTGGTTTCTCCAAAAATTCCTGTTTTGTGTTGTTGTCACTCTTCTAACTGGTTTGAAGACGTGAACAAAGTGATGATATCTACTTCAATAATTCACCAATCAGCACTCTGTAACGTTTGAATTCTGCAGACAATTTTTAAGCAGAATTGAAAAAACAATTGGTTCCTGGGTTTCTGGTGTCTGGTTTTGTTTTAGTAATATATTCCTGCTTGTTTTTCTTTTCTTTTTCTTTTTTTCATTTTTATATTTGCAGATCTCACGGTGCTTTTCAGCTACTTCCTGTTTTATTTTGAAATCGCCTTTCCTTATGCGTGGCTTCTGTTTTTACTTGCGTTCTTTGTTTCCTGATTTCCCTCCTTTTTTGGCCTGTTTCACCTGCATCCTGTCACTTCCTGTTTTGTCCTCCCTGCCTGTTTGCTGCTCACCTGTTTGCCGCTCACCTGTTTGCTGCTCACCTCTTTCCTGCCGCTCACCTGTTTGCTGCTGCTCACCTGTTGGTCTCCGGGTCTCCTCCCTGCTCCAGCCTGACGCTCACCTGTTTGCTGCTGCTCACCTGTTGGTCTCCGGGTCTCCTCCCTGCTCCAGCCTGACTACCTCTGTGTGCTCCTCATGTTAACCAGGTTTGTGTTTGTTGGATATTTGGTTCTCTCAGTGTTTTGCATTTGGATTAGTTACCTTTGTGAGATTCGCGTGGACTCTTAATTTGGCGTTTTCCTGAACACTCTGCTACTTCCTGCCAACCAGCTTGTTGATTCTTTTCCTGCTAATCCCTGACAATTAGTTGACTTATTGATTCCAACTATTTGCTTTTAGAACAAACTGAAAATCAGCTTTTGGCTCTTTAGTTTTCAATTTGACACAAATTTCTGACACAAACTAATAAATTAATCATGAAAAGTTGATGAACTCAGCACAGGCCTGTCAAAGCGGAACCACACCAACAACTGGACCATTCGGAGGAGTTGTTCTTTATGTTCTGTTCAAAATACTGTCAAAAATAACAACAATAAATCAGTTAATCCTCTGAACCATGAAGCTCGCTGGGTTTGACAGACGTGTTGTCTTTTTAAAACACCAACAGAACCTTTAAAAACTAAATTATCTGGGGGGTTTTAAGTTCAAAAATCATATTATTTAATCAAACTCACTTCCTTCTTGGTGTCTCGGTGCAAACACGAAGCTGTTCGAGACTCAGCTGCAACCAGCATAACTGGAAAATGTTGATTCCAGGATTTTTTCCCCCCCTTTTTTATAAAACTAAAACTGAAATTCAACATTATGTTTCCACCTTTTTTTAATGATTGGGATGTGTCAAAAACAAAACAACAGCCAGATGTTGCTTCCGTGGGTTGAAGCCCAACCAGGTCTTCAGGATCTCAGACTGAATCCAATGCAGAATTAAAGATTTGACCTGCAGATGGCGCCATTTTACCGCATTAGAGAAACACATGAGCTTCAGAAGCATCACACCAGCTCCTCAACAATGTGTTTTAATGCTGAACTCCTCAACCTCAGTCTATAGCGATGTTTTGGTCAAACATTTAGTTATGAATATTTAATATTAAAAAAAACAAAAGTCAGAATCTTTGAATTTTCAACCACGTTTTCAGAGGATTTAAATCATTAAATATCAAATTAACCACATTTCTGTTGGTATTTAACAGGCTTCTGTCATTTGTTTTATTTCTTTTTAGCGAAAAGAGCACATTTGACGTTATGACATGTGGTGAAAAGTCAAATATATAAAGATAGACTTAAACATATGATTCAGGGTTTTAATCTGTTGCCAGACTGATTTTTTTATGCATATTAAGAAAAATATTTCTACTGACCTGCTTGTAAATGACAGAGAATTTAGCCGGTACATAACTGTTTTGTGTTGTAATTCATTTCTCCTCCACTGGATGGAACCAAAGTCTCATCTAACACATGATGTAGCTGAAAATCTAACTTCACAGAACACAAACAGGTTTTTATGAAGTTCTCTCATCGTCCAAATATAAAGTTGTGCTTTTGACAGAAGCACTAAACAGGAAACTCTGACTACATAATGAGAAATGTGGTGTAATTGTGACGGTTCATGTACAGAATTAAAGGCGTAACGAGCAGATAAAGGACTGAATGGATCATATTATGATGCAAAAATTAAAATATGTTAAAGTGATTCTGTGCAGAACCATAATGTGCAAATATACGACAGTAAATGTACTGAAATGTCAAATGATTAATGTGTTTCCTCCCAGTTTGAGTTTGTTTAAGCAGAAACAGGAAACGTTTCGGGAACATTTAGGTGTCATGCTGATGTCCAGGTGAGTCCAGGTGAGCTACCTACAGGTCTCTGGCCGTCAGGTAGACGTCTCCCCTGAACTGCCTGCAGAGCGCCCGGACGATGGCCAACCCGATGCCCTTGTTGCTGCCCGTCACCACGGCGACCCTGGTCGACATTTTTCTGGGTACATAAAAGATACGAGCGTGAGAAAACACAAACTGAGCAAATATTAAACTAATTGAGAGTGTTTTGTCCAAATAGAAACAGAGCTGCTGAGTCACGGTGATGTAGTGATGTAGAAATTATGTTTTTTTTGATGTGGGGCTCAAAACTGAGGAACATAAATGTAATTTCACAGTTTTTAAATGAGGAATTCTTGATGCTTATCAAATGTTTTCTAGCAGTGAGAGGATTTAAACCAGCAACACAGCAAACAGGAGTAAACGTCTACTAATAAAGCACCAGGATTTATGCAGACAGGACACGAAGGAAACTTACACTTGAATTGAAAGACAATAGATAACATAAACAGTTAGAATGTGTGAGTCATGAAGCTTTAAGAGAGAAACTGTGGATCTGTTTCAGCTCTAACACTGATTAGTTGATGTTTTTAGAGGAACAATCTACATTTTTATGTTTTTCTACCAGCAAGACAAAAAGAAATCATAGTTTTTTTTGCTACTATTGAAAGAAACTTTGGCTGTTTTTACAAGATAATTGTCACTTTTGTTCCTTAAATAGTCAGATACCTGTCTAATAAAGGAACTTGTTTCCTTTTAGGAGCTGATTACATTTACTTGAGTCGCCTCTGACCAGGAAAAAGCCTGAACGTGCCAAACTTCTAACAAACGATGGCGTCTGAGGTAAATACACTGATAGACGCGGTGTGCCACGAGCTCTGAGTGGAAAATCTGTCCAAAAAAACAAGTACTTTGATGAAGTAGTATCACAAGTAAGTATAAGACATTACAATATCCTCTGAGGAAGTGTTTAGTTGCAAAGATTGAGCCCAAAAACTGAGGAAAAGACGCCAAATATGTCGATTTAAAACATCAAAACGTGGCTTTTTATTCTGAAAAAATGATATTCCACTAAATCCACAGTAGTGTCCTCATAATATATGATGCAGGAAAGTGTCAGGACGGATAAAAATTAATATTACAGCTGCAGTATGTTAGTTTTTGATCAACTGTTTCACTATAATAACAATAAGAGTCTTTATTTATGGAGAACGTAAATCCAAGTTATAAAGGGATTCACGAGGCTGCAAAGTAAAACAGACGAGTCATAAAATCAAGAGATTTTAAAAAAAAAAAATCCAACATATTGTGTCAAGACCATCAGTCCTGGAAAAGCTATGAGTATTTTACTGTATTAGTGAATATGTTTTGTCCCGTTAAACTAAATCTGTGGGAAACTAAAGCTGTGTGATGGAGGCCTGATGATGGACGATACTCTAAATATTTATTACTCGTGTAAACGTCCATGAAAAGGCTCGTGAGAACAGAAAGACTGATGTCACAGAGAACTAAAAGCATCTTTATGTTCATCTGATGTTCAGAAATGACAAGAAAACAGAGATTTCTGACAAATAAAGTCACACGGACTCACTCATTCACCGATTATTCTTCCTGTCGTTTGTAGTCGCCTCGACGGTTCGTTATGAGCAGAAAAAAATGTGGAAAATGTGGTGATTTTAATTAAAAAAAAAAAAAAAAAAAAAGGGTGTTGGTGCAATAGTGCCCCAAATATGAACAGAAGACAGAACATCTCCTGAAAAGTTTTTGATTGTAAAGACTGAGCACAGAAATGGAAGCAAAGACACCAACTATGTGAATAAATGTGTGTTTTTACTAAATTCATGACGGTTTACTTTTAATATATGATGCAGGAAGGTACAAGGACCAATAAGCACTGAGATCACAGTTACAGTCACTCGACTATGAGGCTAAATTAAACATCTAGAAAACAAAAGCTATGTTGGATCCGAGTTCTGGACAGAGATGGAGGCCTGATGGTACTTTGAGCTAAACATTTACTCATGTATACATTAACATTAAGGCTTTTAAGGATAGAATGTGGTCACAGCGGATATTTAGACTGTAAAAACTGACCCAATAGAACTAATTCCAACATTTATTCAATGCAAAACAACAAATTAACTCATTTAAACACGATGGTTGTTGCATCAACTTAATTTTCTGTATGATTTAAACTCTAATTTCTGCATTAGTTGAGTTAAAACTAAACTCAAGTTGAGGTAACTTGAGGATTTTAAGTTCCCTCGTCTTCCTATTTAACACACATTTATAAATTTAACAACTTAAGAGCTTGTGTTCATATTTATGGCAATAAAACACACAGCGTTTAAAGTTTCCTTTTAAATAATGTGGCACAACTAGTTGGATCAACTTAATTTTATGAGTTTTTAGCTTAAAAACCTTGTGCTGCCAATCGTTAGGTAATTAAATCTACGTTAGACTGAGAAGGATAAACTAGTTCCTGACTCGTAACGCAAACAGATCGATGCAAACTGTTTAAATCCTTTATTTTTTTTAGCTGAAACAGTGTTCGTGAGTGAAATCCTTAAATTATCTTTTGTTACTATCGTGAATCTTATTGAACACTTGCGTGATGCTAGTTCATTTTAAACTTTATTAGCTTGTAAATCCAGCTTTTACAGTTTGTTTGTGGGGAAAAAAACACCTTCTGTAGCGTATAAATAATAAATCGGGAGCTACAGGTTCAATGGTGACTAATGGGAATAAAATATCACATCAAGATAAAGTTAATCTTTTTGACGGATCGTTTTCATTCCAGTTGTGAATGTTGTGTGTCATCTGAACTCATGCATTCATTGAATTAGAACTAAATTCAAGTTAACTTAATTAAATTGGTTTAATAATTCAACTTTCAAGTCCTCTCCTGAATCTTAACATGTCTGGATAATTTCAGAGTGGTAATTAAAATACATTTGATTATAGAGAGACATCTGATTCCTATGATCGGATGCAAACTGTACATTTTACTGTAGAAATGCAGAACTGAAACACGTTGTGGTTTCACAGAAGGTCAGAAATCAGAGCAAAGTGCACTGATGTCAAGTGACAGTCTGTCACCTCCAGCAGCAGGAAAACCTCAGTACGTGTCAAAGATCTAACCAGTGATGGCGCCAGAGACACACGAGCAGCTGAGATGCAGATCCACCCACAAGAGCATCTTCTGTTAAAGTTTCATTACGAAACTTAGAAAAAAAATCCACTAAATGTGTTGGACAGATGCTCAGATTCTGCCATTTTACGCATAAATCTAAAATCCTAAAACCCTGAAAAAGCACGAAATCCAAGAAGGTATACTTTTAATAAATGGTGCAGAAACGTGTTAGGGACAATAAAAACTAAGATTATTCGCTTTGTGTGTGTAAGCATCGCTGTAAAGCCTCAGGAGGTGGACAGACGCGCTGCTCGGGCGCATCATGGGCGGGTGTCTTCATTTAATTTAACGTCTGAATCCACTCAGCAGCCAGTTAACGTGCGCAGCGGTGGATTCTCTCCGGTTTGGTTGCAAGTAAAGGCTGCAGGATTCTGGTTTTTGATTTCTTACCAACTACCAGAGTGTTTGTGTGTCACGATCTCTACCCAAATACTCCAACATTTAGGCTGCAGGTTTCTCCAACTCAGCGCGTATCCAGGTAGTGCGAGCAGGATAACGCGAGCAGCATCAACAAATAAGCGCATGGAGAGGCGAGGAAGAGGAAGCAACCTTTAAATGTCATGTTATGTAATAAGAGACACAGTTTAAGAAATAACAAGAAACTTTTGTGATGTGATGAGACAACGTGGTGCTGTTTGTCCTTATAATAAAACAAGGTTTGTTTTTTTTCCGTCAAGCGCGTAATTTTCAATAAAAACATTTCCAGACTTTTTTTTTTCTTATCAGGCAAGTTTAAGGTGAAAATGAAGCTTCTTACTTGTTGCTGGTTTTGTTGTCCAAGCTGAGAAATAAACAGAAGTGAAGAAGGCAACAGGAGGCAGAGGGAAGGACACTGTACAGACAGAGGGGAGTTTCTGCGCAGCATCAGCGCGCTTACCCGGAAAACTTTTCTATTTTTTCAAAAACGAGTCCGTTTTGATTCAAGTGCGAGCTCTGGCGTGACCAAGCAGTTTATTGGGAGGCTGATGTCCGCCTCTGTGCTCAGGAAATAGCACTTTGTTCCCCACAGTAAACAGCAGAAGGTGTCTAAAATATCTCCTCTATTTAATTTCAGATTCTTTCGGTGAGAGAAAAATGAAAGTGCATCATTTATCAGAAACACGAGCATTTCAATATATAGTCCTGCTTGCTGTGTGCCAGATTCTTTCCTCAGACTTTAATAAAAACCTGCAGCATCACACAGCAGCAGAAACGACCCTTCACACTGAGCGTTTTGGGCGCAATTACGCACGTGGCACAGCAGCGATAACTTTACTAACGCAGGAACTGATCGTGAATTATGTTCTGAACGTTCACTGTTCCTTACGGAACCCGTCTGGTGACTGGCCTTATTTGAATTAAAATAAAGTTAATTAATTTAATTAACACAAATTATAGGATTCAGATATTTTTTCTTTTTATTGTTCGAATTCTACGTGTGGCGAGCGGGGCGTGCGGGGGCGCTACTAATAGATTGCCTAACTGATGGACTAAGGGGGAAATGTGTTGACCGACAACGCCACCTGGGTTTAAGGTTCTCACCCAGGGAACCGACGTTCTCCTTGTTCACACACACACACAGCAAAGCACACAGGTTCGCAAACACACTGGGGGGAGACGTGGTTCTACAGTATAAAAAATAGCTTTTATTTTTAAACAGTAGTTAAAATACATTGACAGAATTTAAAATCACCAAAATCCCACATCCCACAAGGCAGATTCAAATGAAAACCATGCAAAGCTATTGAGAAATCAAGAAAACCATGCAAAACAAAAGAAATAACTCAAGCAATATCAGTACTTGCTAACACATGCGAAAATAATGAAACTCAAAATACAAAGCAAAATCACACAAACTAAACAAGGCAACACAAAGCCCAACACAGGTAACAAAACCAGCAAACCAAATGAAGCAAAGCCAAGTAAAGAAAAAGCTAAGCTAAGCTAAGCAAGGCAAACTTAAACAAAATATAACACAACAAACCAAAATACTACAAAAACAATGTCACAAAAGCAAAGCAAAGAATGCTGCCATGCAAGGCGAGGGCAAAGTGAAGCAGAGTAAAAGATGCAAGCGGAGCAAAGCAGCAGAGCGACACCACCCAGAGCAAGCCGCAGAGAGACGGCGATGCTAACGGCGAGGCTAACGGTGATGCTAACGGCGGCAAAGCGGCGGAGCGCCGCTAACCCGGCAAAGCAGCAGCGGTCCCAATATTCAGACACACCTTCCAGTCACAGCCTCTGTTCAATAAGTCTAAGTTAAATACAAACCAACAGATAGACAAAACTAAGTCACACTGTTTACCTACCGTTCAGCTGTGTTCAGTTAGCACCTGAAGGAGCGGGACACACCCTTATGTAGCGGCAACAGCAGAAGACGCCCAAATTGCACTGGCACGGGGTCCGTGACACATGCGGCTACAATAAAAGAACACCGATTACCATAGAGCATGTAAGTGAGGCAAGATGCTGGCGAAGCAGCCACCGCTACGTTACCTGCGTGGAGTGCCGCCGGTACCTGACAGGCGACCCGGAAGTGGGCGGTCTCAGATCCAAGAGCGAGAGACCCCAAGATGGGCACCGTACCCTTATAAGGAGTGCCCTCAAGCGGTGATAGGCTGAATAGCATTCTCCATTAGGAGCAGAAATTAGGCTTCATCCTGCCACATACGGAACCCATCTGGTGACATCGACAAGAGATAAAAATAACTCGTTCCCACGCATTAGTAAATCGTGGCCACGAGTTATTAATGTGTGGGAACGACATAATTATCACACGGTGTTTCCTCGCAAGAGATCGCAGGATATCGGTGTAGTTCATTCCAAGGTTAAAATAAAATGGAATCAAATCAAAATGCTCAATGTTTCATGCAAGTACGGCCGTTATCCTTAATCGACAGCTGGTATGACCGCACTGTGAAATTTGCTCCACAACTTCTCTTGTTTCTTCATATCAGCAATGGGAGGCCACAATTTAACTATGTCGGTCCCACGCATTCACAACAAACAACAAAAAGAAAAAGTATCTGAATCCTATAATTTGTGTTTATTAAATTAATAAATTAACTTAATTTTAATTCAAATAAAGTTGAGGTAACCCAATAAAACTGACTTGATAATTACATTTTTCTCCATCCTGAGCTGAGGATTTTAGGTTTCCTCTCCAACCTGTTCAACACTGGAGCAATTTTGCCAACTTAAAAAATAATTGTCTAAATAATTCTGGTCATAAACTCATCAAACTTAAATAACGTGGAAATACTAGTTGGAATAACTTATGAGTACTCAACTTAAAAACTTGTGTTAAGTCACTGTAACCAGCATAAAAAAATCAGGTCACTGACCCCGTATTTGTCATTTAGACAGTTCCAGTAAACGTCCAGTAGGGGGCAGTGTTCCCCGCTAGTGTTTGCTCCCCCGTGACCCCGGGTCAGGTACAGACGTCATTTTCTCTCAGACATGGGCCAGACAGCAGCAGAACTGACCGAACCGAGAGAGTCAGTACAGTCAGAAAAAAAAACAAAGAAAACACAAAGCAGAAAGCAGCAGACAGCCGTGGATAAAGACAGAAAAGTCCGCAGGCAGACCCGGTAGTCACAGGCGGAGCTGTGTGAGAGTAAATGCATGAGACTCCGGTGAGTTAGCACACAGTTAGCCTGCAGTTCGATAGCTGCCCAGAAGAAAAAAATGTATTTATTGTGCTGTTAACTTGGTTTAAGTTGCTGTACCGTGCTTAAAATATACCATAAGATGCTTTCCAATGTTTTTCAACGACTTCTGTGCACTTTATGTCGTAGTTTATTGAGAAAAGACCGCTAACGTAATGCTAATGCTAATAGCGACCGCGATATGTTAATCGCTAGCCCGAAATGCTAATTTTCTCATTGTTTATGCTCAGCTCATGCTAATCGCTATGCTAATCACTAAGCTAAAGCTAAGTTTACACGGGTTTCAATGAGAAAATGCATTTTTTATTTTTTTAATGCCATTTGAACTGCTCATTTTGTGTTTTTAGCCACTGCAATGGGTAACAGCACCATTTAAGGTGTGGTGTGTTTCATTTTTGATTCAGAAATTGCACTATAATGTATAAAACTGTAATTCATTTGATGTTAAAAAGTTAAATTTTTTTTTTTAAAAAAAAGGTGAATTAAAATAGTTAAACTGTTGATATAAGATAAATAGGTTTTAAAAAAGGATGCGTACATGATGTGTCTGTTAAAAATAGAGGTTTTGTTGTGGTAATTCATGAATAGTTGATTAAATTTATGGTTAAAACTAATAGTTTTAATTCATAGTAATTCATTTATTGTGTGTTTATATATTTTCCTGATCTTTGGTAATATTTTATGCTTTGAACTGAGAAAATGATGAGCTCTCATAAGAAACTGAGACAGAATCAGATGAAGTTCCTTACAACTATGCACTTTCTGTGTAGGTTGTTTTTTTTTGCTGTCTGAACTACTGTCCGAGAAATACAGAGGGACGATGAAGATGACGAGCCCAGCCCAGAGGTTCTGAGGAAGAGAGAGAGTTTGAGAAGCAGTGTGTCCCGCTGCAGAACCCACCTTGACGACCCAGATCATCTGAACCTCACACTCTGAGAACAGGTGAGACACACACTCCTCACCTACCCGGGTAGTAGTTATAGGAACTGAGGACAAAGAAACTGAATGGATGTTGATACGCTGAACACAGACACATTGGATCCTTTTGCTTGAATTGAACTTACCTGGAAATCGAGCTGGAGAGCTCGACTTCTGTGGACTCTTTTTTTTTTTTTTTTGTTTTATTTTACGGTACCTTATTTGGTGAGTAAAGCTCAGGAAAGTTGTTGATGTTTATTAATTGTTTTGTGTTGATATTAAAGTGTCGCCTGTTCAAATAGCAACACCCACTCCTTTTTGCAAGTCACTTTCTAGTGCAACTCCTATCGGACCTAGAGCGATGTGAGTATCTCTTTACCTAAAAGTTAAGACTAAACGTGCCACATCACTTTAAAGGGAGTGAATATGAAGCAACAGCTGTTTTATTATTGTATTTTAAATTTATTGACATTACTCTGTAGAAATCTGTTTTCACTTTGACACAAGAGTCTTTTTTTGTAAATAAATTGATCGTGATTCAATGTTGAAAACCAAAGAAAACGAAGCTGGTGCTCCAGATGCTCTTCATAAATGCAGGATGTAGTATTTTAGCAACTATTTTTACCTTTTCGGTGCACATTTGGCTTCATTTAACCACTTCTCTCACCAGAACAACGAAAATCAGAGTCAGAAAAAAGGTCTGCATTTATAGTTTTATTCAGCGTATTATCAAAAGCATGTCACATTGCAGTGTCGTGTGTTTAACTTTCACCAACAAGTACTTTTCATCTTAAAACATCTCGATGAAAAAAATCTTTCTGTTGTAGCAAACAAGCATTTCTGTTAAGGCAAAGTTTTTTCATGGAACAAAACTAATAATAGACCTTTTTTAAAGAAAAGAGCAACAGCTCTTCATTTTGGTAATATTTTTAACCCAGCAGGCAGACGCACAATTACACACTTGGTCGCAGATCAGTGGAATTAGGATGAAACTCTGACATTAGCACACTGACTTTTCTTCATCTTCACCACGGCTTAACCTGTTTGTCAGAAACAAACTTCCCGTGAGGTTCCGTGGCTCCGGCTGGCAGCAGGGCCAGATAGACCGGCGTGATGGCGCCCTCGTCTGGTGACTTTGTGGCTTTATCGCTCGTCATGTCGGTGCGAACCCACCCTGGACAGCAGGCGTTCAGCAGGATCTGTAGAAATAATACAAACAGGATGAAAATGTAGGTTGGAAATGACTCAAAACCACCAAATTGTAGCATAAAAAAAGCATATAAATCTTGTTTTTTCATATTGCAGTGTCAGTTTTATTTCCAGTAATGTGCAGCCACGGTGCAAATAAATATCTATCTGCACTATTAATGCTTTGCTGCAATTCTGACTTATTATTATTCATATCTGGTATATCCATCCATCCATCCATCCATCCATTTTCTTCCACTTATCCGGGATCGGGTGACAGGGGTAGTAGGCAGAGCAGGTCATTCCAGACTTCCCTCCTCCCGACGACGCTTTCCAGCTCTGCCTGGGAGATCCCAAGGCGTTCCCAGGCCAGCCGAGAGATATAGTCCCTCCTGCGGGTTCTGGGTCTGCCCCAGGGTCTCCTCCCTGGTGGATGTGTTTGGAAGACCTCCAGAGGAAGCCTCTCTGGAGGCATCCAAATCAGACGTCCATACCACCTCAACTGACTCCTTTCGACGCAAAGGAGCAGCGGCTCTACTCCGAGCTCCCTCTGGATGTCCGAGCTCCTCACCCTATCTTTAAGACTGAGCCCAGCCACCCTGCAGAGGAAGCTCATTTCGGCCGCTTGTATCCGGCGATCTCATTCTTTCGGTCATGACCCAAAGCTCGTGCCCATAGGTGAGGGTTGGGACGTAGATAGACTGGTAAATCCATTTTCCATCACTTGTGAACAAGATACTTAAACCCCCCGCGTCGGACACGTAGTGCGGGTGAACTGGGAACCTCTGACGGAGGCCCCTGTCTGTGGGGCTTTCAGTTCCCACCTCCGGAAGAGTTTCTCCTGCATCCCGCTTGGGGACATGGAGTCAGAGTGGGCCATGTTCAAAGCCTCCATCGCAGAAGCGGCCGTTAGGAGCTGTGGCCGGAAGGTCACTGGTGCCTGTCTTGGCGGCAACCCCAAAACCTGCTGGTGGACACCGGCAATGAGGGAAGCCGTCAG